TTCTAGTTTTAATTTCAGTCTTAAAAATTCCTAGTTCTAAGTTTCAATATGGTTGTAATGGTTTTAATTTTTGAACAATTGTTCTTTGGTTTAAATTTGGTTGTTGTTATTGAACAATTTAATCTTGGTACAATTTGAATTTGGTTTTGTTTTGATATTGGCTTATTTTGGTTTGAGCATTGGTATTTTTCTTTTTGATAGATTTGATGCATATTTGTTAATGTTTGTTGGTGCATTCAAAATAATGCTCATGAGAACATGTTTGATGTATGATATTCATATATGATATGTGGTATCAAATTCTTTGATATGAAAGTTGGTCTGACTGTTTTGTGCATATATATACATATGAAATCTGCAATTTTATTTCTCTAGACTTGGACATATTGCTTTTATAAGTGCCATTGTATGTTTTTGATGTTGTCCAAAGGGGGAGAAAGGTTTTGAATTTGTTTTGTAGGCTTGTCTACTAACAAGGCACTGCTCATATCTCATTTGATTTGACTTGAGCAAAACATAGTTTAGCTAGCAAAACATATTGGTTTCTCATCATCAAAAAGGGGGAGATTGTTGAGATTCATGGATGATGAATCAAGCTCAGCTTTGAAGTTCTGAGAAGTTTTGATGATATCAAAGGATACAAGCCAATAACAAAGGGCAAGCTAGTCAAGAAAGGAAGACATGAAAGAATACTAAATGTAATAATGATTGCAAAAAGACTTTTCTTCTTCACAAATATTTTAGCACCTTTTCTATTGTTTCCATGGACTTAAAGCTTAAGATCAAAAAATAAAATACTTTTGAAAAGAAAGGATCTCAAGTTCTAAGTCTAGTGAAGAAAAAGTGGATTTCACCTAGTTTTACTTCTTATGCTACTACTTTAATTGTGCCCAAAGTAGACAACCATTGTCTATTTAAGACTCCTTCTACTTTATTTGTGTTAATAAGGCACCCAACATTTGGTTTATATTGTTTATTGAATACATCTCATGGTGTCATACTTTCTATTTTCTATCTTAAAGGAAGTCCAAACTTGTTTGAATGTAACTTGACTACTTCCCTTCGAGACAAACTTAGATTATGAGTCTTCTATACTCTTCTTTACACCCTGATGCGAATCCAGCAGGGTAAAATTGAAGACTAACAAGCCTAAAGTCATATGATAAAGAAGAAGGATTAATGGGCTGGAATTTAGGTAGTTTGGGGCTGAATAATTAAATAATTCCATTATCTTATTTTTTAATGTAATTTTCGTTTTATTTTATTGTATTAAATAAATATGATGGGATTCCTTGCCTTTTAGGTTGCTAAGGGGAAATAAATGCTAGTGGGAATTTATTGCTTAGTTAGTGGGCTAGTGAGGAGTCAATTTTAGTGGATATTAAGTGTTAGTGGAAATTTATGTCATCTTGCCCATCTAAGCTTATAAATAGGAACCTTTTGTGAAAGTTTAAAAAAAGAAAAATGAATTATTCATAATTTGGATATTTTTCCAATTGAGAGGATTTTCTCTCTCTAGGTTCTTAGGAACTACTTTTGATTCTTATCCTTGAATTTCCTAATTCAAAGTGACGAATCTTCCTCAACTTATCAATCTTTAGGGATTGTGGCATTGTTCTTTCATTTCTTACCTCAATCCATTTTTTTTTCTTTTAATTTCTTAATTATGAGCATTCCAACCTAGATAGATCCGTAAAACGAATCCATCCCTTTGGGTTCATATCACACCCTCTTCTATTTTATATCTAACAAATAATATGATCAAGGTTCTCTAGGTATTTTCCTTGTTAGGTTCACATTTTTTTCTTGTATATGCCTAGGTTACTATGTAGGGTACTTCAAGCAATATACGTTAACTTTTACGAATATTTCCTTAGTTTGCTATAGTTTTAGTACTTTCACATTTTTAGCATTTAATTTTACACATAGTCTACACTATAATGATGATCCTATCCATATCCATAAAGAGTTTATCTTTCCTAGTTTAGGGTACCTTGTTAGGACTCTATAGAAGCAATTCCTCATAAGGTGCACTTTCCACACATATTACATGAATATATCGGTTCTAATTGTTGAGATTCATGGATGATGAATCAAGCTCAAGTATGAAGTTCTGAGAAGTTTTGATGATAATAAAGGATACAAGCCAATAACAAAGGGCAAGCTAGTCAAGAAAGGAAGACATGAAAGCATACAAAATGTAATAGGGATAGCTTATATGTTCTTATATGTTGTGTTGTCTTGTTGAGTTTATTTTTTCATGTGTATGCTTTGTGCTTGAGTAAATCTTAATCTCAATTGACTAAGAATGAGTATGATGATGATCTAAGTGGCTTGGAAAGTTTCCTAAAGTGTGAAATTGAGTTTTTGAAAACTTACTCAAAATAATCGATTATCATTAAAAAATAATCTTATTCCAACAAGAGGTTCAAGGAACCTTGCTGTAATAATCTATTATTTTAGGAAGTACTCTCTGAAATAATCAATTATCCTGCAAAATAATTGATTATTCTGTTCTTGAGTGGTTTATAGAAATCATGAAGAACAAAATAATCGATTATCCTTAGAAATAATCGGTTATCTAGGTCTGGAAAACTTTATAAATAGTTTTCAAACTTTGAAACAAGTACAGAGAGATGAACTGAAAATAGAAGAGAGAAAAACTGATTTTGTGAAGTCTTTATGATCTTCTTGAAGTGTTTTCTTTGTGAAACCAAGAAGAAAAAATTTTGTGAAATGCTTTGAGAGAAATCATCATCATCACTATATTTTTGGAAGAGAAGGATTAAGATGTGTCAAGAATTCACAGTCTGATTTGTTCAGCTTCTAGGTGAATTCATTCCTTTAATTCTTGTAGTAGGTTTCTACAAGAAGTGCTTTCTTGGGGGCAAGAAAGTGTCTATCTTGAATGTAAGAGTGTATGCATGTATGGTATGCTTGTAAAACTTCTTCATTAAGATCGTGGAACAAATCTTGATCAGGTTATGATTGAGAACTGGATGTAGGTCACATGTGAAGTGGCTGAACCAGGATAAAACACTTTGCACTCTTCTCTCATCTCTATCTCTTACCTTGAATCATCTTTAATTGAATGTTAAAAGACTGGTCTTGATTAATATGCTTGTATGATTAAAATAGTGTAATCTGAAAAATGAGCATTGCATATTAGTTGTTCTATAAGCTAATTCAATAAAGATTAAGCAAGAACTCATATAGGAGTCATTCCCATTTGCTAAAGGTTCAATTAACTTCATTGAGAATTGATATTAGAAAAGTTTTAAGTTGAAATAAAGATCCTTAAACTCTAAAAAAAATTTAAGTGTCATTGAATTCAATTCACCCCCCTCTTGGATTGAGCCATTCTTTTATATCACTAATGCTTAGTCTCCTATTTACTTGTAGATGATGATGTCTATGTTGATGAACCACTTGATTTCAAGACAAATTCTTTTAAAGGTGGAGGGAATGATGGAAACCTACTTCCCAAGGATCCATTTGGAAGAGATAAGTCTAAGAAGGGTGAAGGTTAGAGTCTATGATGGAGGACCATCTTTGAAAGCCATAGGACCTTTGGCAAGGTCTATGGTTAGGAGGCTAGAAGAAATAACTAGAGAGGATCTTCTTCTTAGACATATATTTATCATGAGCATAGAGTATATGTTCTTCTCATAGTTGCTCAGTCTTCTAATGTATATACTTTGTATAGTTTATTTTTCATTCCCATGTATATAGTAGTTAAGTGTATAAGTTATTTTTGCCATTGTATTTAAAGGTGTATATTTCGTTGATTTTTAGGTCATGCCTTTAGGATTTAGAGACACATTCCTTTTTGAAATGTATTCCAATTAACCTTGTATTCATGGACACCATATTTTAGTTTCCTTGAGTTTAGTAGTTGGAGTGAAAATAACCATTCTAGTGGTGTGGCAATAGCTATTCTAGGTTGTGTGTGAAAGTAGTAAAGGTTTGAAAATAGCCACAAATCATATTAGGCTTGTTTTTCTTTTCTTGGCCTAAGGAATTGATTTGGCTTGGCTCAACCTTCATTAGGTTAACCAAATCAAGCCAATTCCTTAGTTTTTGGTTTGGCCAAGACAAGCCTAAACCACCATGGGCCGCCCATCTTGGCTATTCTCCACCTTGGACTACTTCTCCAATCACCTAGAAACAAGAGGACACTTGAAACTTGCTTATTGCTCTTTTAGATCTAGCTGTCTCCTACATGTCCACATGGCTTGTTTGTGATTGGTGGAACTAGATCTAAGTGTCTCTTCCTTGTCTCCTAGATGTTTAGCTTCGTCTCCAGGCTACCTAGATCTATATATAGGAGTTTTGATCCATTTTGTACATACTTTGAGATTTATGTATAATTTGGATGAAATCCCTCTCCAAATTCTCTATATCAAAGTTTGTTTCTCTCTTTGAATTTTTTCCTTTTCTCTTATCCTTTTTTGAGTGTGATGAGAAATTGAAGAGACTTATCATTCTTCAATAAGTGTGGCACCATCAAGGAGACTCTCTTCATCATCTTGTGTGGTGAAAATGACTTGTAGCATCCATGAAAGACATTTTAGAAGCTTGAAGGAGTTCAAGAAGTAAAGATTCATTCATAAAAGCTTGAAATAGAAGTTACATCAATCTTGTCTCTCCTAGAATTTTCATCACATACATTCTCATATACTAAAATATATAATTAAACTAAGTTGAAAGAAGTAAATTATCACACCAAAACAATTTATCAAAAAATAAATACTTCATACTTTCGTTGATAATTGTAAAACAGTTTGACCATATATACTCCAATGTATATAGGTTTAAGTTGATTATTGGCAATAGGTTTGCCTAATAAGTTTATCCCTTTACATCTTTCACCTCCCTAACATTCATTAACAATAATCATCATTATTGTAATCTCAACACTTGTGTATAGAGTTGAACTTGAGATTTTTATAAAATCCCATTATTTTATTAAAAATAATTGAAAGCATAAGAGATACACATTTAAACAAAAATGCATTACACAAATACTATATAAGACAAAATGATAACGCCTCCCAAAAGAGACCCTCCCACACTTAATAAAGTGAAGGCATAAATGTAAATAAAACAAAATCAAATCAAAAGACAGCAAAATAAACCATGTTGGCATATCCTATAAAGTAGACATCCTACCCCTTTTAACAATATAAAGCCCATATGACGGTAGATATAGTATAAAATTACAAGCCCTTCAGTGGCCATTTTGAACCAATAGAGAAAAAATGGAAAAGGCAAGGAATATATCATATCATGTAGCAACCATGAAATGTTGTCTAGATGTTTCACCCTTTAGGCAAAATTTATAAATATCATTATGACTCCGAGGGCGTTTTCTTTACACTTAGGAATGGTTTGAATGTTAACAACAATGCAAGTACTTGTACAAGATTGAGGAAAAGGAACACCAAATTGGTTCCTGCATTTGAATGCATGATAGTGAGTTTCCAATTACAACTAACAAAATAAAAATATCCCAAAACTACACAAGTATCTTATATTTTCAATTTGGTAGTTTAATGTCGACCATAATCACCTTTTCCACTAAAAGAAGAAAAACTTAACTAAAATGTGTAGAACAAAAGTTTACTTGTGTCATTCTAAAATTCTATTTTACTTAGTTTTTTAGTTTAAAGGAAAAACAAAAAATATTTATTCTATTATAAAGTCATGTTTGAAAGTTTTTCATATTGACATGCCAAGTGATCACAACATTAACCATTTCATCAAGTGTGTTTGACTTAGTTACTCTAAAGAAATAGTCAATTTTTTAACTTAAATGATTTTTTAGCAAATATATTATTACTCAAAATATAAGTTAATAAACATGGACCAAAAATTACAATGTATTACTTAAAATAAAAAGAATAAAAATATAAAAAGAAATTCACAAATTAGTTAAACATTATACCTGGGAGGAAAGAAGCATTTAGTCGTTTTTGTGACAATGTTAACCTACATTGACCATGAGTAAAATAAGAAATTTAAATATACATTAATATGCATCATTATAGTCATAAAATATTGCTTCATACATTATACAAAATACTTTACTAATAAAGATCCTACTAATATAACTAGATTAAAAAATAAAGAGCATAATCTCCATTAAGTCTCTTGTACAAAATATTTTACAAACTATAACTATATTAAAAAATAATGATCATTAATCTCCATTGAGTCTGTTATTAACTATCAAGCTCAAAGTACACAATGGAAAGACATATAGTCAACCAAATTAAAACTAGAATTGAATGTACCTTTTGATATAATTCATTTCAAGTTCTTATGACACGTATTTGTTTAGAAATAATCATTTTATATTTTAATATAATTTTAAATTTTAATATTCTTTCATAATAAAAAATTACAAAAACATGTTTTTTCTAACCCTTCCTTAACTAGTCATAAGGATTAAATGACTTTATCCACACATATGGACAATAATACTTTCATTAGTAAGCATATTACCCAACAAGAACATATGTAAATACTTTTAACTTGATTCTTGTTTTGAAGGTTTAATAAACTATTTTCATACTCAAGTATTTTGGGATATTTTCCATTTTACCTTCTTCTCAATTGATATAGAACAAATAAAGATTAATTGTAAAATTCGGTATCTTTACAACCATAACCTTCTTTGATACTAACACCATTTTTTTTTTCATAAAATATAATATAAGTATTTAATAATTTTTATTTTTATTTTTAAGTAATGGAGTTCTTTAATATAAGGTATTTTAATTAAAGATTTTAATTAAATATTTTATTTAATTAAATAAGAGGGGAGGGATTTGTAACTATGGCCAATATGTTTTAATTGGAGGGTTAAAGATGAGTTAATATTTTAAAAGAGAAATTTTCAACCGTTTCATTCTACAATCCTTCATTTAACATTTTTCACACACGCACTTTATTTTATGCTCAAAGCTCAGATAACAGAAACATGAAGAAAATCACCTCGAGATCATGCATCTGCCTTCTTCTAGTTACAAAGGTAAAGGAGAGTGAGAAATCTCACTCTGGATATAGGACTGTGTGTTAGGTATTGAGTTTGGCCCCTAATTATGTCTTTGTTGTATGTCTATGTATGAAGGATTTTCCCCAAATGTGTCTTTATCTTCTATGTTTCTCCTTATATATATTTTGATTGGGGTAATTAGTATGTATGTGTTAGTTTTCTTATGGGTTCTAAGGGAATGCATTCGTGGTTGTATGAGGAGATGACTTGAGTATGTATTTATGGGAAAATATTCCTTTTAGAAGTGTAACACAACAAATGGAGTGTTCTTATTGATTTGATTTGGGTTGAAGGTGTTAGGGAATGGTGTTGGGAAAGATAGAAATCCTTGAACAATATAATTTCGCATTCAGGACTATCATATTTTGCTTTAGGAAATCATAGTCTCGCTCTAAGAAAATTAATTTTGCTTCAAGTGGCCTTAAGCTCGTTGAAGTGAGTCCTCATAGGTAGTTTCAAGTAATACTTGCTTAGAGCAAATTTTTACCTCGCTCCAAGCATGCTAATCGCTCAATGCTCGCTCCGAGCGAGCTAATCTTGCTTAAGCATAAGATTGGCTCACTTAAATGAGTATATAGTAGAATTGGTTGTAATTTTCATGAAAGTTGTATCTTTAGATGTTAGCTTTCAAATGTCATTGAAATCAATTAAAAAGATCTGTTACTCAATTTATGATTAAATTAGTGAGCAAAAGTCAAGTTGTTAGATTTAGAATGAAATAATGCAGTTTTGTAGTTTTTAAAAATAATAGATGACAAAATTAGCACTCGAGGTCAACATAGAAGTTGTAGATAATTGTCATATATTTCTAACAAAATTTATATCAACTTGATATCATGTATATAGCTCTATATATTGTGTTTGGATAGCTCAAGGCCATAAAAGATTAAGTTTTGAAAATATAGTTTGTGAATGATAATGATAAATGGAATTACCCTTTTAAGTGTTGATATTATCAATGGTTTGAGACATCTATATCGATTTTTAGGAAAGAGAAATCATGAGAAATATTGATATAGTTGATGTGCATAGATCATGTGAGGGTCATATGATGAGAAATTTAAGTGAGGCTTAGCCATGAATTGATATGATATGATATTGTAATGTGATAAATCATAGAGTCTTAATTGTTTGACATACACCATCTGCATAAATGTTTTTGAAGGGTATGATATCGAATGCAACACTAGGGAATTCCCCTTTGTGTAAAAGCTTGGGGATCAATCCTCAGGGATAACTTGGTTTGTAAGTTCCATTATTGCCTTTTGTGTGCGTGGAATGTACCTTAAGTGGCTCGACTATCCTGACTAGACCCTAGTAGTATGTCCTCTTAGTGAAAGTGTCTTGAGGGTGTGGCCTAGCATGTATTCCTAAGCTACTACACCATGTGATGTTTTTACTGGCATCACATCCATGATAATATATAGTATGTGTCCATTGCATATGAATCCCACTGTTATGTGGTATTTAATTATGATGTATGAATGAATAAAATAGGTTATTGTTATTATTATTAATGTGCTATGTTGCTTATATGCCTTTGTTTATGTTTGGTTATCTAGTTGTATTCCTGCATCATGGACTAGAGTGAGATGTTTCTTACTCCCTTTTATTTTGTGTTATATTTTACTTTGGTTGTTATGCAAGTTATCATCAACATGAGGTTGAGGATGTTGATGATGAGGCTTAGGCTTCAATGTTAGGTTTTACCTTGATAGAATATGTGACATCGAGACGTAGTTAGAACTAGATTAGAATGTTGTTTCTATTAATTTATTTTGGAGACATTAGTTTTAATTCCTTGTAGTTTCAGTTTGGTTATGGTAATTTGTTCAAGTTAACAATGTAATACTTTCTACCTAGACACGCTTTGATTTTATTTATGAAGATTATATTATGCATTTTTATATTTATTTATATGTTATGACATGTAAAGTAGAGGATATCACACTAAGAATGAAATTACTGTTTCAAAACCAAAAATGATTTAAGATTTAAAAAAAAAATACTTTTTGGAACTGAGAAGATTATTGTCCCTTATCTAGCTTTTTCAATGTTATTGAGTGATTTCATTTGTCCAAAATTAATATTTGTACTTGTTATCAAACCACACTTTTACAAGAAGTTTGAACTCTAGTAAGCTTGAGCACATAAGACACTAACATATCTTCTATATATATAAAAAAAAGACACACATATCATAAATAAACTTTTAGACAAAATAAATTGTGGATAATCTATATAACATTATGTAAAAGTAGGAGAAAATGTGTTTGAAGAACAAAGGCTACAAATGTTACTAATCTAGATAAATAGCTTGCATATATATTTAGACTATTCTTAGACTAGATAGAAGAAACACATACTTATCTATACAATTTATTGTAACTAGTTAGTAACATAACTACAACAACTTCACTAAAAGTGATAGCTACCAATGTTAAATACTAACTACTTTCATAAACATAAAAGAAACAAAAAAAAAATGTACCCTACACATTTTGAGGAAATCTTATTTAAACTATTGATTTGTAATAAAGATTCATAATCATATTTTGAATAATAACTCACAAGTCAAGTGGAATATAAAGTAATATGGAAGAAATTTATACTCACAATACACCGCCAGCGGCTGGACCAATGGATTTTAATACTGATACGGCAGTAATACAAATGCCATTAGCTATTCCTCTTTGATGTTGTTCCTATTTAATTTTACAAGTATACCATAAATTTTGCAATCCATATTAAAAAAATTTAGGGTGAGAAACAAATTAAAGATTAAAAAGTAGAACCTAAAACCTCACCACTGCTCGATTTTGTAAAATGAATAAGCCAGCTGAAATTATCTCCTATGTCAAGCAAACAAAAATACAATTGAGAAAGTTTTAAAAATGTAACATTTTTTTAGTGAATTAAATTACTCAATCAAAAATTAATGAAGTCAATCTAATATTTTAGACTCTAAAGATAACTCATAGGGGTTTACTTACACTTAATAGATAGCTTAGAATCGTAGCGGAATATATTGATATGAATAGTGGGAAGCCTGACAATTTTGTCATGAAGGGATAGCTTTGCATGATAGGTATAGATAACACCTATTTATATAAAACAATAACACATAATTTAAAGTAAATAATGAAAATGTTGAATTAATTACAATAATTACCACAAAAGGTTAAAGCTAACCGCCATAATGCGAGTAAGGTTAATAGGTCCACAAATTTTTTGCATCGGTTGGTATAGTGCAACTTGGAAGATCATAATACCAATACCTAAGGAGTTGAAAAACCAACAATTAATTAACAAACAAAAATAAATATGTTTTTATTTTATGCAAATATTTGAGAATAAAATTCAAATGACGTCGATAATTTATGCTTTAAGATTGTACAAATTATTCTTTAAATATTCTTGTAACCCCTAAAATTATGTCGCGTTATAGATTTAATCCTTATTGGAATTTCATTCATTTTTAGTTTTTTTTAACCAAAATATTGTACTTTTACTCGTGTATCAGGGACAAACAATATTTTTTGTTAATTATGACCCAAAATTTAATGTATCATCTATATGCTCTATATGGTTTTTCATTTGTATAATCATATACATTCAGTCTATCCATTCGTCTAATAGGTTTAGGGTTTAGCTTGTTCTGTCATATAAGACTTAGTCTACATGTCTTGTGAATACAGAAGAGTGAGAACATGCGTGCAAGAGTTGTGAAGGAGATACATAGAGAGAGAAAAAGAAAACTTGTTAAAAATATCAAATGGTTGTTTTATTGTAAAGACACAATCTTGTTTTCAGACAGTAGCATTTTCTCTCTCTTATGGATGGAGGCCAAATTGGCTAAACCATGTAAATCTGTTAAGTTCTCTTCTCTTAATATTTTTTTTTACTATTACATTTTTTCTACATTTACATTTTACGTTATTGTTGGATATTCTCATTTATGAGTTTTTGGTTTGTTCTTGTATAGGGTATGTTCTTGTTTTCTTTCTTTCTTGTTTTAGAGCTAACAAGTGGTGTCGACTGTGGGGGAGAGAAAGAAAGAAAGAAAAAGGAAAATAAAATCATGGGAAAAACCAAGTACGATATAGAGAAGTTTTCGAGGAACAATGACTTTGGGTTATGGAAGATAAAAATGGAAGTTATCTTGGTCAAATAAGGAGTTATAGAAACTCTTAAGGTGAGGCAAAAATGATTGTATTTTTATAAGAGAATGATAATAGTGAGATAATTGATAAGGCAAAAAGTGTTATCATCTTATATGTCTCGATAATAAAGCCTCGAGAAAGGTTGCAAGAGAAAATATAGTGGTTACCATGTGGGTCAAATTGGAATCTTTATACATGACAAAGTCTTTGGAAAATCATTCATGATTGAAGCAAAATCTTTATTATTTCAAGATGACATAAGCAAGATCGGTTCAAGAATAGCTTGGAGATTTTAACAAGATTCTCGATGACTTAGAAAACATTGAGGTGAAACTTGAAGATGAGAATGAATCTTTGCTCTTATGCAACTATTTACCAAAATCCTTTAAGAATTTCAAGGATGTTATTGTGTATGGAAAAGATCAAACTATTACCTCGAATTAGGTTCAAACCTCAATTCAAAGTAAAGAGCTTCAAAAGAAACAAGTGTTGAGACAGAGAATAATGGTGAAGGCTTAAACGTCTCAAATGGGAGGAGTGAGAAAAAAAGACCAAAGGGAAAGAAGTCTACATCAAAATGGATGAGCAACACCATGTTTAAGCCCAGATATTATAATTTCCATAAGAATAATCATTATAAGAAAGACTGTCTTAAGAAAAAAGCTAAGGAATTCAAAAGCTCCGTGGATTCTTTGGATGTCGTTGTTTTAGATTGTTATGAAAGTTTAGGGGTATTTGTGGCATCAATATCATAAAAGCAAAGGAATTGGGTTATGCATTATGGATATACCTACGACATATGTCCTATAAAGGATTTCTTTGAGACTTTCGAAGTCAAAGAAATTTAAGTAATGCTTCTTGGAAAAAACAAAACTTGCAAGGTGTAAGGTATAAATATTGTTTATATGAGAATGTTTGATAATAGTGAGATTCTATTGCAAGATGTGAGGTATGTCCTTGAATATAAGAAGAATCTTTTTTCCATAAGCATGTTCGATGGTTCGGGTTATTCTACTAAAATTGAATATGGTATGATGAAGATCTCTAATGGTGCCTTAATAGTTGCCAAGGGAACTAAAATAAGTGGTTTGTACATTCTTAATGGTTACATTGTTATTGCTCATGCATCTATAGTAACTTAAACTTTTCTTGATAAAAAATAATTATGGCACTCAAGGTTAGACATGCTAGCGAAAATGGTTTAATGGAACTTGGAAAAGAAAATCTATTGAATGATAATAAATTGGAAAAATTATATTTTTGTGATCATTGCATATTAGGAAAAAATTTGATAAGGTTAAGTTTGAGACTAATATGCAAGTTTCTGATAAACCCTTTGAGTATGTTCACACGAATATTTAGGGTTCTTCAAGGGTAAAAACTCGTGGAAGGGTTCCTATTTTCTCACCATTATTGATGATTTTTCAAGAAGAATATGGATTTCTATTTTGAAAGATAAATCTGAAACATTTCAAAAATTTAAAAGAATGAAACTTATAAAAAATCAAATAGTAATAAATCGAAGGTTTTAAGGACTCACAATGGCCTAGAGTTTGTTTTGGAGCAATTTAATGAGTTTTGCAAGAAATAAGGACTTAAAAGGCATAAAAATGTAGCTCATAATTCTCAACAAAATAGCCCATTTGAAAGGATGAACATGACCATTTTTGAATGTGTGAGGTGTATGTTGTTGGGTTAGGTCTACCTAAGAGTTTAAGGGGTAAAGCTACAAATATTGTAGTGTATTTGATATATAGATCATCTTTAGATTTAAACTTCAGACACCTATGGAAAGGTGGAGTGGTAAACCAATAGATTATTTAAATTTGAAGGTTTTGGTGCTCTAAATGTTTCTCATATCAAGAAAGAAAAACTTGACACTTGAGCTATGAAGTGTATCTTCATCAATTATCTAGATGAAGTGAAGGGTAAGTTGTGGAAGTTTGATCTTTGAAAGTCAAGATGCTTTACAAGAAGAGATGTCACATTTGATGAAACCATAATGGGATAATGTGCAAAAACCTAAAAGTAAGTAACTCAAAAAAATTTACGGAGAAAACTTAGTTTGAGGTGGAGTCTACTATTGATAATTTTGGAAATTGTCTTACACCAATAGATGATGGACAAGCAAAAAATGTATTATTTGTTGTTTCAGACTATCAATTGACAAGAGATAGGACTAGGAGGAATGTACCTCCAAATAGATTTAGGTATGCTAGTATTATCTATTATGCTCTTACTATGGCTGAAGATATACAAGACTCAAACAATTTAAAAAGGATGTGGAGAGTAAGCAAAGACAAAATTTGTTGCAAGTTGCAAAAGAAATGGAGTCCTTAAATAAAAAAGATAGACTTGGAAGTTCGTGGATCCACGCAAAAATTAAAGTTAGTTGGATGCAAGTGAATCTTCAAGAAAAAGAAAGTTGTTTTAGGAGTGGAAATGGCAGGCTATAAAGCAAGGCTTGTGGCAAAGGGATTTACCCAAGTCGAACAGATTGATTATAATCAAATATTTTCCCTTGTGTTAAAACATTGTTCTAAGAGGATTTTGATGGAAACTGTGAATCAATATGATCTAGAGTTGGAACAATTGGATGTCAAAACAACTTTTCTTCATGGGGGCCTTGAAAAGACAATTTATATGCAACAACCACAGGAGTTTGTAGATGATAAATCTAAGGTCTATCTCTTGAGAAAATCACTTTATGGATTGAAATAGAGTCCATGTCTATGGTACAAGATTTTTTGTTAAACTTATGTTTTTTTTAGAAGCAACTATGACAATTATATTTACATATTTAAAAAAATGAGAAATATGTGTTTTTTTGTGTTACTATATGTGGATGATATTCTAGTAGCAAGCTCTAACAAGGATGAAATTGGAATGCTCAAAGAAGAGTTAAATTTTAAGTTTGAGATAAAAGATTTTGATACTGCTAAGAGGATACTTGAAATAGATATTATGATAAATAATTCATAGGTAGATGCAAAAAGTAGTGGAAAAGGTTTAGGATGCATCAATCTAAACCTGTTAACATTTCATTGAGTCATCAAACAAAGTTCTTTATAACACTAGCACCTAGCACTAAAGATGATGGGATCCTTCCTTCCATGGTGTGTTCTTTGGCTTCCAAGGAGGAGCTCCCTCTTTCTCCACGGATTAGGAAGAAGGATGATGGCTGGATTTTTCCCAAGGGTGGTGAAAAACAAGGTGGGAAGTGCAGGGTGGAGGTCGACAAAAAAGGAGAAGGAGAGGTGGAAGGTGTTTTTGGTGCTCTTGGCTAAATATCTCCACCAAGGGATGGTGGAGGCCACTCAAGGGAACTCAAACTCACTCTAGGGTGGAAAGGAGAGGAGAATGGACGTGAGGACCTAGGGGACTAAGGAAGGCTTTTTGAGCAACAAGGCTCACTCAAAATGCATATATTCCAAAGTGGGTACAAGGTCGAGGGTCTAAAGTACTTATAGAGAGAGGAGAGCATCTAGGGTTTCTTGGGAGCATTTGGCCGAAAATTTCAAGCCCAAATGCACCCTAAATGAACCCTGGATGTAGCCCAAATGAAATGGCTCTCATCTCTCCAAAAAGACTAAAGTATCCTTAGGCCTAGAAAAGGAAAGAAATGGATTTTTGACCTCACAAGTCAATGTTTAAGTCCCAAAATAAATTCTAAGACTGATTTTGCCCCATAATACAAAGGCTAAATAAAAATACAAAATAAATTCCAAATATCTAATGTATCCCAAAATACAAGGGCAAAATAGGAAAGGAAAGCAACGAACTAAAGAGATGGCCTAAAGTCCACACACATGATGATCAAGGCTTTTGGTGTGGTGTGTTCTTCATCTTCCTCTACTCTCCTAGCCATGGCCTTGTGATGGGCCCTATATGATGTCTAAAGGATGGTCCTCCATCAAAAGAGAAAATAAGGAAAATGCGTTCCATTCAATATGCAAGTGAAGTAGGGAGTATCATGTATGATATGGTTTGTAACAGATCTTATTTGGCTTATGTTATTAGCATTGTTATTAATTTTATGGAAAATTTGGGTCAAGCTCAATAGGAGACTTTGAAGAGGGTGTTAAGGTATTTGAATACTTTTTTAATATCTAGTT